CAATATAACCTTTAAGAGGTCTGTCTGAGTAACACACGGTTATGCATTGCCACGAAGCCGTTTCGCGCGTATAACCACGCAACCAAGCATATCCCAGGCCGGGGGCGGGGCCAATTCTGGGAGAGGCGGGGCCGGGCTGCGGGGGCGGAAACTGATGTGCGGCGGCGGAAACGCGGCTCTTCATGGCAAGATGGCGGCGCCCATGAGGATGTGAAGCAAGTAGGTGGTGGTGCTGGACGGACAGTGCTTCAAGGGAGCGAAGTGATCAAATGCAGAATGTTTCGTTCCTTTTCAGAGTCTGCTCAAAAGGTTTTGTCATGCACGGGAGCGTCCACGGCCTGTTCAGTGCCGATATCGTTGGCATGTCTCTCCATTCGCGGACAAATATAAACTGGGAGGCAGTAAACTCATAATAATACTGGTAGCACTTAACTAGTACTTCTGGGGAAGCAGTCCTAGGAACTGTCTCGAAAAGACACCTGCTCTGGAGGCTAGGCTGCCACTTAATGGAGTCACAGAGACTGTTAAGAAAAATCAATTGGTAGTACTAATTTACAAGGGAAATTGCCCTTATAAATAGTTCTCGATGTAATCGATTCCAGCTTGGATTAGTTCTGAACAAGTCAGCCCTGGAGTTTATGAAAATAGATGCTGGTAACGTTAAACATTTTAATTGTTTTCTACGGTTTCTTTAGATGAATACCAGGCACAATGCAGAGATTTTTGTGCATTATCATTTAAGTTTTAACAAAAATTATATTTACAGAACTTATCCTTGTTTTATGTTTGTGGATGCTAGACTCTGTCTAACAAGTCGTAAAACCAGTATTTGACTTCTGTTAATTTTAAAGCTGATTTTAGCAATCCTAATTTCCTTTACAAAGTTATTATGACCCACCTTTATGAGGTGGGCTGGACTACATTTTTGGGTCTCTTGAATCCCTCGGATAGTAAGAGAAATAATTTTTCCTTATGTAGAACCTTAGAGAAGCAGATTTCTAGAATATTATAGTATCTCCTTAATTTAGCCTTTCTTTCGGTTTTTTTAGGAGTCCTTGTGGCACTTTGGGCTAAGCACTTGACTCAACCTAAAAGTCATAGGTTCCAACCCACTGTAGGGGTGAAAAGTGAGGCAGTCTCCTTTCCTACAGATTTACAGCTCTGGAACCTTGTGGAACAATTCTGAGCTTTTCTATGCAGTCAATACGAGTTAGAATGGAATCCACAGCAGTAGTTTTTGACTGGGATAGATTCCCCCCCCCCATGTTGATAAGGTTGTTTGGCAATTGGATCTAGTTTATAAACTTTATAGAGACACAATAACTAATAGTTTAAAACAGTAATATATAAAATGTTCTAATTACATATGCTCAATCTTTCATAAAATAGGTAGGTACATGCAGATAGAGAATATTTTCTGCATGTTACAGATGAGGAAACAGGTGCAATAGTTTAAATAGAATAAGTTAATTGCCTTAGATTATACAATTAATAAATGACATAGTCTTTATACAATTTCCAGAGTACATTTCTGTTTATCACCCATCCAGAAAGAGGTACGTTTATGTATATTCTTTGCTACTACTGTAGAAATATTTTTAGTTAGATGGATTTGGCACAGTGACTGCAGCAGTGGGCTCAAGTGTGTCAGAGATGATGGGGATGGCACAAGGATGAACAGGGTTCAGATCTGTTATTCACACTTGATCTTAGCCAAAAGGTGTAGAAGTGATCAGATTTGTTATTCGTAGGGTCACTGTGAGTTGTACTCAATCCAACACTACCTAACAACAACAGATGATAAGTTACTGAGTAAGGAGCTGTCCTGCCAAGCACATGGTTCAAATCCACAGCTGTTCGAAGGGTTAAAAATGGTCAGTCTCCTCCTGTGCTGTTACTGCCTTTGAAAACCTACCTACAGATCTTCTATGAATCAGTTCTGACTTGACATCACAGAACAGTTATAAATTCAGTGAACTGTCATGTTGTAGTCTGTTGCGCTGCTTAGTTCAAATCTACTAGCTGCTTAGGAGAAAGGAAAAAAAAACCAAAACCAAAAAAAACAGGCTATCCTCCTGGGGAATGTGTAGTCTCAGAAACCCAATGGAAGGTCAGCAATGAGTGATTGAATTAGTCAATTATAAGTCTGTGCCAACCTAAAGAACCAAAATTACAGACTAATCTTGCATACGTCATCCAATTCCTTCTCTTTACTGCTTTACTGTCAATATTTATCCTTGTGGTGAGCTCTGGTGACCTAGTGGCAAGAAGGTGTACTGCAATCCCAGAGGTGCATGGTTCAAATCCACCAGATGCTCTGCTGGAGAAGGAGGAACAATCTCCTCTTGTACCAGTCAGATCTGATTTGACGGTACACACACACACACACACACACACACACACACACACTCTAAAATAAATTTAAAAAATCAGCCTTGTTCCTATAATAATTATTCCCCCATGAAATCCTACAATGATGATTTTTCTATGTAATTAAATTACCAAGATATAATATGTATTTGTGTTTACCAAACCACCTCCTAGCCTACTTTCCTGGATGGGAAAGGTATGGTAACTAAGGAACGACTTGCAGTCTTGAAATGCCATTTCAACAATAATCATTTTTAATGTCTAGGCTTATGCAAGGAAAGAGAAGTGCTGAAATAGGTGCATTCTTAAAGATTAAGTATTTTGACTTGGTCTCCTCAGTAAGCTCCTTAAACGCAGAGGCTGGATCTTAACTTTTATTTGTATTTCCAGCCTCTTGTGTACCACTCTTTCCACAATAAATTGTAAAAGAAATAAAAACCAAAAACAACAAAAAATAATAACCTTTGATAATATTTTTGCTGTCATACCTTCATGTGATTGGCTTTATGATGGTGATCTAATTTTAATTTCTTTAATGATTTAAGTACAGTTGTAAATCTTTTTGGTAATTTCTTTGATTTAGTGCCAGTTGTGCCTTTTATATTTTTTTTTAAATCCTTTTTTTGTGATTTGAATGAAAGTTTACAGAGCAGATTAATATTCCATTCAAACTTTCATCTATGTTTTGTTTAATGACATTGATTACTATTTCCATATTGTTACATCTCTATTTCTATTCGTCCTTCCATTTTTTTGGGTTTTTTTTACCTTCTGAACTTTATCCCTGGGCAGTTGTTGCCCTTTGATCTTGTTTGGTTGGCTTCTCTAAGGACTGAGTACCCCCGATGTTATTGTTCACCTTATAGACACATCATTTGTTTGACTAAAGGTTGTGCCACAGGATTGAGTTAAGTTCCAGGTTCAAAAGTAACCAAGATTCTCCTTATGACTCAGGGTGAAGTGTCTCTCAGGGAGGAGTGATAGGGAATGGCAAAGGACACACTGACAAAGAAGATTAATCAGAACTGGCTTTGACAAGCACTGTGGCATTTGGACAAGAACAAACTGGGAGGAGGGTAGAGAGAATAGTGCACCAATGAATGAATGGAAACCCAAAATCTCTGTAAATGTTTATGAAAATTAATAAAATATAGAAAAAAAAAACAACCAAAAGTAACCAAGATTCATAGTCTCGGTGCCTTATTTGATTGGTCATTTCCCTAATGAAGGGAGCATAGTGGTTAAAAAATTGCACTGCAGTCCCGCTCCCTGTTCGGATCCACCAGCTGCTCTACTTCAGAGAAGGCTGGGCAGTCTTCTCCAGTTTGATTAACTGCCTCTGAAAACCCGCCAGTGGGTCAGCCATGTGTCCGTTCCAACTTGATGATAAGCAACAACAACAATCCAAAATCTCTAAGATTTACACCTTTGTTTCTTCTAAGAACTTTGTCATTCTAGTGCTTCCATTTACTTCATAGGTTCATTTTGAGGTTGTTGTTTTTTTCTTCTTTTTTTTTTCCGCTGTTCACACTGTTTATTTGCTTCTCTGGCATTTTGAGGTTTTTAATCATCATTCTTTTGCATGTAGGTAGCCCATTATCCCTGAGCTATTTATTGAAAAGGCTTTTCCCTCATTTAATTGTCTTGACACTCTCACTAACTGATTAGTTTATCTTAGATTTGGGAATTTCTTTTTGGACTCTTACCTTCATTGATCTGTGTGTTTGTCTTTGTGCTGGTACCACAGGCTTGATTACTATCGTTTTCTAGGTAAATTTTGAAGTTGGGAGGTATAAGCCTTTCACATTTATTCTTTCTCAAGATTGTTCTGAGTTTCTTCCATTTCTATGTGAATTTTAGGATCTGCTTGTAAATTTTTTTTAATAAAACTTTTATTTTATATTGGTATACTTAAAAGTTCATATATATTGTTTTTCACACCAGATCTTTCCCATTTCCATTACCCCTGTCTATACTTGTCAGTTTTTAAAAACAAAGGCAGTTAGAATTTTTATTGGAATTGCATTGAATCTGTAAATCAATTTGAGGAGTGTTGCCATCTCAATATTCAACAACGCTTTGTGGTTTTCAGTATGCAAGCCTTAAACTACTTTGGGTCAATTTATTTCTAAGTATTTTTGCCTTCTGGTGCTATTTTAAATGAAATTGTTTTCTTATTTTCATGTTCTGATTGCTCTCTGTTAGCATATAGAAGTAAAACTGCTTTTTATATACTGCCTTTTACAACCTAAAGTTCTTATTGGTTTGAACACCTTTCATCTAAGCATGTTCTCTTTAGTTTGTTACAGAAAAACCACTCTCTGTTATAACATTATCTGCTTGTCTTCTTAGGAACTCTGCTATTTGTTCCTAAGAATTTAATCACCCGTCAGTTTAATTTGTCAGTAAATATGGTTGGCTAGAATTTAGGGAGGGTTGCATGGGGAGGGAATGGTAATAAGGTATGAATGAGATTAAATGGGTTTACATGGATCCAAGGAAAAAGAGAGTCTTTTCTGATGCACAGTAAAGAGTTCATCATATTTCTCATACTTTAGGAGTAAGTGGGACATTCTCACACTGAAGCACTATTGGAAGTATTGCACTGAGGAGGCAGCTGCAGTGGCAAGATGCTGTCGAGACCAAAGCCAGGGGAGTCTGAGGTGGACCTGCTGCGCTTCCAGAGTCAGTTTCTTACAACTGGTGCAGCTCCAGCCGTACACCTGGTTAAGAAAGGAAGTAGGAAAAGTGGCAGTGCTAATGTGGACCCACCTCAGCTACAGGATCATCGGGATGTGGTGATGTTGGACAGTGAGTGCTTGGGGGTATGAAGCTGAGCAGGCAAGAAGATGTCCTCCGGGAGGCTCCCTTTACTTCCCAATATAACTGGGCTCTGCCTCATTATTATTGGAAACATTGTCTAGCCTCTACTGCTGCTTGAAACTGAGCCTCAGAGAGGTTAAATACCTAAGTTTATGCAACTTGAGTCAGGGTCACAAAATGGCCCCTGTTTCTTTATTTTGTAGTTTACCAGCCCTGGATCGTTGTCTGGAAAGGGATGAGTATCTTCATATCTTTTTGTGGGTTTTTTTTTTCTTTCCAAGGTCTCCCAGATTTGCCCCCAGCTCTGGTCCCTGCTCCACCAAAGCGAGCCAGGCCCAGTTCCAGCCGCCACCTGCCAGAGGATGAGGACCCTGAGGAAAGGCTGACCAGACATGACAAACACATCACTGCTGTCTTGACTAAGATTATTGTGCGTTTCATCCTGGCTGAGTGGGACATGGTATCCTAGAGCACCAAGGGTATTTATAGGGTAGGATGTGAGCCTTGTGAGAGTACCTCTCAGGAAAGCAAAACTTCTTCCTCTGTTCAGGTTGGGAGCTGGGATAGATTCACTGTGCCCTGAGAGGCAATAAGTTTGGTCTTGGTAGTATAGAAACCAGTGTGAAGAAATCCCTATCTTTGTGCTTTATTGCTGCAGGAACGAGATACAAGCTCAATGGCTGTGAGACTGCCTGTGTCCAGTGGTGTTGCCTTCCCCCCTGTTTTCCATCGCTCGCAAGAAAGACAGGTAGGCCAGAGCAACAGGGAATAGTGTTTGAGTGACAATAAGGTGATTATTACAGTGCATTTTCCCAAGATAGGTAGTGTTCACAATGCTAAAATCCCTTCCGTTCTTAAAGTAGCACATACACAGCACTTGAAACACATTACCACCTTGTAGGTGTCATCATACCCTTTTTCAGATGAAGAAACTGAGGCTCTCTTAGAAGTAAAAGAATTTGTCCAACATAATACATCTAATAGGCAGAAGATCCAGAAATCAAACCCAAGTCGGTCATTCCTAACCTATTGTTCCTGCTAGGACCCTGCTTTACTAAGGACCAAATTTGTGACTTCTAAAGATTAAGCGGTCTATTACTCTTTGTTCCAAAGACCTTAGTACAAAGGAGTTGAGAAAAATGTAGAACCATGTTTTCTGTTTGCTCCACAGGCGAAGCCAGCACTATCTAGTAAGAAAAGCATCTTTGCCCAAGAGATTGCAGCACGGAGGATGACTGAAGCCAAGGTCCCACCAGCTGGGGAAGTTGTACCTATGTTGGACCCACCAGAAAGTGAGTTGAAGTTGAAGAGACACAATCTTTTTAGCAGACATCATGCTAAGGTTATGTTTGTATACATATCCCTGCTTCAAATGAGAAGTGCATTTGAACCACTTAAGGGAAATATCCCATGTCTTCACTGTGTGAGTGTACTTGGTAAGGCTGCTTGGGTCCACTACTTAGTTTTAGAAGAGAAAGGGAGGGTAAATATCTGGCAGAAACTTGTAAGCAAAATTGTAGGCCAAGATTCCTTTAATGATGTGGATTATTAGTAGAATTACAGAGGACAAGCAGCAGTAAGCATATGGCTGCCCAGATTTTTGCTGGAGGAGTCAGAAACTAGGGTTTTTCTGAGGGGAAACATCACATAAATCTTACAGAACTAGTGAAGGGAGAGACCAGCCCTGACCCCACCCCATAGGGTCCAGAGTCTGTCCACTGCTGGGGGTCTCCACTCTGCCTGGGATAGCTGTGGAGCCTTCACCGGTGTCCAGGTCTGGTAGGTCAGAGAAGCAGACCAGAAAATCTGGTTAGACCCATGACACTGATTGATAACACTTCTCCAGGTCCTGTGACACGTGAAGCACCCGTTCCTGGAGACCAGATGTGCCAACTTCCAGGGAGCAGCCACAGCTTCCAGGGACCCCATCTAGTCACAGGGAAGGGGCTTGTGAACCAAGACGCCGAGCTTGAAGCCCAGACCATCCATGAGGAAAATTTAGCAAGACTACAAGCCATGAGTCCTGGGGAGATCCTGCAGGAGCAACAGCGCTTGCTCGCTCAACTTGGTATGAGCCTGAGCTAGGATGTGGCTGCCACTTGCTGAGGAAGTCTACCCATCTGTCATACTCTGTGCTGAGTACTTTATATTCATGATTTCATTCTGCCTCAAACTAGTCCTGTGAGATAAGTGGTATTAATATTTAAGAGGAAAGACTTTAAGAAACTCTTCCTCCATGTCACAGAGCTGATAAAGAGAAAGAATGGGATGTAAACCCAGGTGTATCTAGTCACAGAGGCCCTGCTCCTAATGTCATACACACTGTATATCCTTTATTATTGTATCTAGTTCACATTACAATATGCTCTATAATTTAGTATATTGGATACCACCTTACAGGAGTGATGGAGTGGTACAAATGGCTAACACATTCAGCTGTTAACTGAAACATTGCAGATTTAAATCTATCTGGAGGCACTTTCTAATTCCAGAAAATCAGAGACTGTGATCCCTGTGAAACATAATTATGCTCTGTTACATCAGAGTTGTCATGACTAGGTGTTAACTCGATTATAACTGGTGTACTACACTATACCTCTGCTTACCCAAAAGGAAGAACCAGTGCACTCCTGTCCCTTACTGTACGTGTAACACCTGTGTTCTAAAGGCCAAACTCATTTAGTCAATTTCGACTCATATGACGGCCCTTTAGGATAGAGTAGAACTGCCCCACACGATTTCTAAGGCTATAAATCTTTAGAAGCAGGTTGCCAAATATTTTTCCCCCTGAGTGGCTGTGAAAGTTTGTACTCTTGACCTTTAAGTTAGCAACCAGGTGCATAACCAGTATGTTACTGCGACTATTGTTGTGTGCTGTTGAGTCAGAACCAATTCATAGCTGAGCCTCTAGTGGTTTTTCAAAGCAGCAAATTGCACGGGAGGAGATTCTCTCACGGAACAGCTTGTTAATTCAGACCGCATTGTGCCTGTGGGATTGCAGCACAGCTTCTTACCACTAGGCCAGTAGAGCTCCCACCAGGGCTCTTAGCACTTGGCATTTTGTAGATGTTCTGTAAATATTTGTGAATAAATAAATTAGCTGTAGAAAGTGAGAGAAATTGTTCCTTTAAATGTCTTCTCCTTAGTTCTAGTTGACATTCATTCATTTATTCTACAGTGTTTTTTTTAGACTTCTGACTGGGGGATTGGTGGGCACTTCTGACCAGGGAAGGTGGGCACTGAGACCCCACACGTGAGGACAGCCCATGAAACTCAGCTCAGTCTGGGAAGTAGCATGTCTTGCTTTCAGGCACCCACAGGCAGTTAATTTTCAGCAGGTTTTAGGTCTCCTGGAAGCTGGGAAGGATCTACACTCACTCTCTTCCCCCTTCCCTTGATTCTAGATCCTAGCTTGGTTGCTTTCTTGAGATCTTGCAGCCACACCCATGTGCAACCAGGAGAGAAGGCCACAGAGGGACAGAAGCCAGGAGGACCTTCTGCTGGAGTCATCAAAAAGGAGCCCATTGAGCCACCTGCTGCCAGGGAGCCCAGGAAGAAAGTTGAACTGGCGCCAGAAACCTCAGGTTGCAGGGGTGGCTGAGGAGGAAGGCAGCCTCTTTTAGGAGATAACGTAGAGGAATGTCCTTTCTTTTAGTCTGACATAAGAGAGATGAAAAGAAAGTTCTCTGTGCTTAGACAGCTAATATTAACCCTTATTATTGGCTTCAAATCAGTCTTCATTTGCTGATGCATATCATCTTCCTGCACTTGCTTCCTGTTTCCTTGACCTGCTGTTGCTCTTTCTCTCCCTCCCCTGTAAGAGGAGATAGAGTGTGATGTGGAATGACTCCCGCTCCCCCAGCAGACCATCATCTCTCTGCCTTTGCTGTAACTGCTCTGGCCTTTCTCTGTCCTGCCTCTGCTCCCAGGGCCAGGATGATGGGAGAGGAGGGGTCTGATGCAGGTCTGTATGAACATGCCAGACCAGAAGAAAGGCCAGTGGGAGCATTCCTGCCCCGTCCCCCCTCCCAGGTCCCAGGAACTGAATTATTTTATTAGTGATTAACAAGAAAAGAAATTGAATTATGAGAGCCGGTAACCTCCAGCCCTGGAGGAGCTCCAGATTAGCTGAACTGCTTGGGTGGGGGTAGGGTTAGGGATGAGGAAGGAGAAGGGTATTGCATGAATGTGTTTTTGCATCCTGCTGTCCTGGGGAAGGATAGCTGCCTCCCACACTGAGCCCACTTCCTGCTCTGAGACTTTACAGGGTTGGTACTGAAGAGTAGAGCTACATTTTCCCACATATATATAGTCTTGTCTTTTACCTCTGTTCTTCCTTTCCTCTGTTTTCCTTTTTTTTCTCATCTTCAACAAAATTTTAAGGTAAGAAAGAGAACAGCCCAGGATTGAGTATGTTCTGCCATATCTCTGATGTTCCAGCCCCTGGACCAAGCTGTTTAACCACAGTTGAGGGTAGAGAGTCAAAGCCTTAGGGTTAGATGTGAATGTGGCAGCTGCCAGGTGATAAATAGGACCCTTGTATGCCTGTGAGCCAGGTCCCTTAGGGAATACTGGCATTCTTTCATTTCTTCAGCTGTGACATTGCCCGTGACCCCCAACAAAGAATGGCTACACATGGATACTGTTGAGCTGGAGAAGCTCCATTGGACTCAGGACCTGCCCCCACTCCGGCAACAGCAGATGCAGGAGGTGAGGAATCCAGCTGATCTGAAAGGGTGGGGTGAGGAGGAGCTGCTGTTACTACCATACCTGCACCCAGAACCTTCTCACCTGACCCTGAGAGGCATTTCTCCTTTGCACTTACCCTCATCTCCCATCACCCTGTCTAGCCCCTTTTCTGAAACTTTAGTGGGTGGTTACCACAAGTGCGCAGTGTCCAAACAGAAGTAGCCTTAGCACCTGAGCTCTGAGATGCCTAACGTGGTTAAATGTGAACAGGGGGTATGGAGAAGTGGTTGTGACTCCCAGCTCATCATCTTTCTCTTCCCATTAGAGGATGCAGGCTCGATTTAATCTTCAGGGAGAATTATTGGCTCCTGACGTAGACCTGCCTACTCACCTGGGTCTGCACCACCATGGAGAGGAGGCAGAGGTGAGGCATGGGGCAGCTTTTGGCAAGAGCTTTAACAATCATGTGAAAAAGACCTACATCTGCTGCCTTGAATTTCTTATGCCCTTATCCCAGTTGATGGCCTTGCTGTCCATTTGCTTTCTTATGTTCAAAACGTTTCTGTTCTCACATTTTAAGTTAGTTGCCAGAACATGGCAATTCTGTGTTTGTTAGTTCCCTACAGTGCTTCCTAGAAAAGAATTTCTCAGTCACTTTTCCATTCTCCATAGGCTGATGTGCTGATTTCCTGTGACCCAAGGGGTGATTTCCTGTGACCCAGCTGAGACTATGCCTTGCCTTGGAAAGCTTGGCTCACTTCTCACAGAATAACCCTCTGCCTTCTTGGCTTGTCAGGGAGTTTTCCATGATGTGTCCTTTCTGACTTTACAGTTCTGCCTCCTTCACTCCCTCCTCCTGTGCCTTTCTGCTGGTTTCTTCTCACATTCACCTTTAAGGCTCAGTTCTTGAACCCCCTCTAGGAATTGCCTATATCCTTTGTTCTATGTCAGGCCATTAACATTGACCAGATAATTTTTCTAGATCCCTCTTCTGTCTCCTGTTCTTTAGTTGCAAATTACACATTGATTACCACATTCCTCCTTGTTTGCCTAAGGTTGTGGTTACTCGTGTCTGAGACTTGCTGCCTTTACCACCCATGACTCCATGAAGAGGAAAGGCAGGAGACATTACTTACTTATCTTTGTTTCTCTGAACATGTCTGACATGTAGGGGATATTGGGTACCTGTTGGGGGTGCTGACTTCCTATTTCTGCCCCAGAGAGCTGGGTACTCCCTCCAGGAGCTGTTCCACCTGACCCGCAGCCAGATATCCCAGCAGAGAGTCCTGGCACTACAAGTATTGGCCCAGGTCATCAGCAGGGTAGGTGGACTGCTGGTCCCTGCACCTGCCCACCTGTTCCCTTCATCTTTGACTTCCCCACCGCCTTCCCTTTTCACTCATTAGCCCAGTCACCAGCTGTCTATGAGTCAGACAGGAATCGGGTAAACCAAGGTGGGTGAGTAAGACTAAAAACTGACTTCAGCATCTTTAATAAGGCTTTATCCTCCTGCCCTCAGGCCCAAGCTGGTGAATTTGGGGGTCAGATAGTGGGCAGTGTCTTGCGCCTTCTTTTGGATGCTGGTTTCCTCTTCCTGCTACGCTTCTCCCTGGATGACAAAGTGGATAGCGTTATTGCAGCTGCTGTCCGGGCACTTCGAGCTCTGCTGGTGGCCCCTGGCGATGAGGTATAGCAGAGAAGGGAATGGGAATGGAGATGTGAGGGTTCTTACTTACACTGGACAATTCCTAAGTGTGCCAGGCTCAGTAGAGAACAGAGGGCAGGCAACACCCTCTTCTCCTAGAGCCCCCAAAACCCAGAGCTTTATCTTTTCACTGTTGGGTGGTTTTCACTCTCCTGCATCCCTTTCCTGGCCTCCTTTCCATCTTCCCACCCTCCGGCCCTTTTCTCTGTTAGGAGCTCCTAGACAACACCTTCTCCTGGTACCATGGGGCTTCTGTGTTCCCTCTGATACCCAACCAAGAGGACAAAGACGATGAGGATGAAGATGAAGAGACCCCAGCAAGAAAGGGGAAAAGGAAGAGCCCTGAGGAAGGAAGCCAGCCTCTACCTGACCTGGCCCGACATGATGTCATCAAGGTAAAGATGCTGTAAGCACTGTGAACCTGACCTAGGCCAGCTTGTTTCCCACAACCCTAAGGTAAGCACATGTTGAGCAGGAGGGGAGATCAGTGCCCTGGATCTGGCTACACTTGGCAGTGAGTTTAGCTCTCTTGTCCTCAGGGACTCCTGGCAACCAACCTACTGCCTCGACTCCGCTATATACTGGAGGTGACATGCCCAGGACCTGCAGTGGTACTTGACATCCTGGCTGTGCTCATCCGCCTGGCTCGGCATTCCCTAGAGTCTGCCACAAGGGTGAGACAGAAAGGGGTCAGGGATAGGCAGAGAGCCTCAGTGGCTTGGTCTTGACCCTCAACCTCCCTACCTCTCCTCTCCCTCAATCCCCCTAGGTCCTGGAGTGCCCTCGTCTAATAGAAACCATCATTCAAGAGTTTCTGCCTACCATTTGGACCCCCGTGGGGATGGGGCCTGTGCTTAGTCTACACGGCATGCCCTGTGCTATTGCCATGAAACTATTTCGTGTCCTGGCCTTGGCCAGTAGGAATATTGCTGCCCGACTGGTGAGCAGGACACAGGGTGATGTATGGGGGACAGGTAACAAGGCTAAGCTGGGGCTAAGGGTGGCCCCTGATGCTCAGTGACCAGCTCTTACTATTTTCCTCTCTGGCCAGTTACTTAGAAACACAACAGGCAAAGAACCTAGTTACCTAGAGGCTAGTTTGTCCTGTAGTCCTGTAGCCTGGTCTCTTGTGAGAGGAGAACTCCCTACCCCTGGAACTAATGAATTAGATCTAGAGAGCCAAATACAGATAATGTGCTTAGCATGTGTATCCAAGTAGCTCTAGAAAAGGAGCCCAGTACTTGCTGAAGAGAAGAGCGGTTGAATAAATGGATAGATAGGTTATTTTATGTACCCCAATCCAGAGAGACAAGGAGTTCTGGTGGTGTGGTGTGTTGCACTACTAACCAAAAAGGAGTAGTTTAGATTCAGCAGCTGCTCCGTGGGAGGATGGGGGACAGGCTCCTTCCATAAAGATTTACAGACAGTCTTGGAATCCTTGGGAGGGTCTCTGTGATTCAGAATTAAGTCCACAGCAGTAGGTTTGGTTTTATAAAAGCTGAAGCTATGCCGCTGTGGCACCAGAGTGACCTGGAATAGTAAGGAATGAACTAAGCCTGTCTCCTTAGTAAATGCGCCTGAGGCTAGTTAGGCTGTGACTCCCAGCTGACTTGATCTCCCGCCTCTCTGCCTATCCCCAGTTGAGCAGCTTTGATCTCCGGAGCCGCCTGTGCCGCTTTATAGCAGAGGCCCCACAGAAACTGGCTTTGCCCCCAGAAGAAGCTGAAACATTGAGCACTGAGGCTTTCCGTCTATGGGCTGTGGCTGCCTGCTATGGCCAAGGCGGCAACCTTTACAGGTGAAAGGTAGAGGAGGGGCTTACAGACCCCTCCTGTTTTGTACTTCTGGCCTAACTTGATCCCTCAGCCTTCAAAGTCCCAAACTTATAGGGAGGCTATGAATGGGGAAGAAAGGGAATCAAGGGTTTGATACAGAATTAAAACTCAATGTGACAAGCCAGGGTTAACCACATTCTATACACAAAGATATTAATACCTTGAAGTTTTCTTTTGGGGGCCACTTTGAAGAAGAGCCCTTCTCTCCCATCTTAGGACCCAACCTTCCTTCCCTCTTGAAGTCTTCCAAGTGGGTTCAGCCCTTGGGATCTTCTCCCTCTTGACTATCCCTAAGCAGCCTGCAAATTCCTGAGGTGCTTTATGTGTTACGTCTCCCTTCATACAGTGAGGCTCAATCACCATTCTCTCCTAGGGAGCTATACCCAGTGCTGCTTCAGGCCCTGCAAGCTGTGCCCCTGGAGCTCAGCACTCAGCCCCTTCGACCTCTAGCCATGCAACGCATTGCCTCACTGCTCACCCTCCTCACCCACCTGACCCTGGCTGCCGATAGCACCACCTCTAAGCTCAACAGGTAAGGTCTACAACCCTGAACCTCCCAGCAGGGAAATCCTACAAGGACAGGCAACCATGTTCTCCACATGGAGAGGATGATGGGTGCTCAGAGGGGAGTAAGAGACAGATCCTTATGGTGGCCTTCTTGTCACTCCTGTAGTGACTCTGCTGAGGACAGCGTGTTGGGAACTCCTTCCTTGATCACTTGGACGCAGGTGTCTGGGCTCCGACCTCTTGTGGAACAATGTCTGAGACAGACCTTGAAGCTGCTGCCCCAGCCTACAATGTGGAGTGCCCTGGGTCCAGTGCCCACAGCCTGCCTACTTTTCATGGGTGCCTATTACCAGGCCTGGAGCCAGCAGGTGAGTGTGGCCTACCTTCGTCCACCCTGTGCCCTACCCCTTACCTTTGTGTGTTCTCTATCTCCACCTCACTACACCTGCTTTCCTTCTCCCATTTCTCCATGCCTATCTTTCCCCTATTTCCCGCCTTCTCATTCCTACCTTTCTTCCTCTCCCCAGCCCAGAATTCCACTGGTGCTTTAAAGACTCATCTTAGTGAGGACCAGGGAGCCTTAAGCAACAGCTCAACTTCCCTGTAGCCTTTATGCTTTCAAGGCCCCTAGACATCAAGTACCTGAGCACCTCAGGGTTGCTCTCCCTTTAAAAGACTCAAAAATAGAAGCTCTACTCTGACTCTTTCAGCTCTTAGAATCATGGAGTTGAGCTAGGGTTAGAGGGTCTAGGATAATGAGTGTCCCAGACCTTCAACTCAATGAACCCTTCAATTCTCCAGCCCGGCTTGTGTCCAGGGGATTGGCTTCAGGACATGGAGCACCTGTCAGAGGAGCTGCTGCTGCCCCTGCTGAGCCAGCCCTCTTTGGGCAACCTGTGGGATTCCCTTAGGTACGTGCTATGTGTGTAATGGGTGGCTGGGGGCAGTTTCTCCATGTGGAATTCCTAGGTCTATCCAGAGTAGAACCCCTCGACCTACGAGAAACCTGAATCTTTAGCAGACTGAGTTACAGGAGTGGGAGAGTGGAGCTGAGAAGGGTGGTGTCTAAGGACAAGTGACAACATAGAGCATGGTGCACTGTTCTTCTACAGAGCTCTGCACTCAGGGGAACCCCATGGACCTTGGGAATTTGAGTGCTAATCTGCACAAAAGCCCATTAGCACTTGGTCACAGACCAACCCAGTAGCTTTTTCCAGCCTAGCTTTCATCAGGCCAAACCTTTCCCAGAACCTCCCTCAGCTTCTCTGTTCTGTCCACAGACAGTGCTCCCCTCTCTGCAACCCACTATCCTGTGCGCCAGCACCAGAAGCTCTCCCCAGCCTTGTGTCATTGGGTTGTGCAGGAAGCTGCCCCCCTGTCAGCCTGGCTGGCTCAGCATCACCCTTCCCATTCCTCACAGCCCTCCTCTCTCTGTGCAATACCCTGTCTCGGATCCATAAGGGGCTTTGTGGCCAGGTAAGCCCTCTGGTTAGGTGTCAGGCAGAGTCAAGGTAACAGGTTTCAGAAAGGAAGGGAAGAGTACCTTGTGGGGGAGGAAGGGGGGAGGACCTCCTATACCAGCACTCATTTTAGTCAAGAATTTAGTCAAGAGGTGGACCCTCAGGGAGATCTGGTGGCCCAGTGGCAAGAAGCTGCACTTCAATCCTGAAGGTTCATGGTTTGAATCCACCAGATGCTCCACTGGAGAAGGAGGAGCAATATTCTCCTGTGTCGGTCAGATCCGATCTGACAGTGCACAACAAAAAATTTAAAAAAAAAATAAATAAAGAGGTGGACCCTCAGACCTATGCTTCCTGCCATCCCCTGGTATGGTTCATGTGGACAGAAGAGATCCATGTCAATTTCTAGAACTAAACAAGCTTGCTTCCCCTCAGCTGGCTGTCGTATTGGATACTCCAGGACTTCAGAACTACTTCCTCCAGTGTGTGGCCCCTGTGGCTGCCCCACAGCTCACACCTTTCTCAGTGTGGGCCCTGCGCCACGAGTACCACCTGCAGTACTTGGCACTCTCCCTGGCTCAGAGAGCGGTGGGTTCCTCTGATTACTGGCTCCCCACTATTCCCCTCCTGTTTCTCTAGAACTTTTCTCATCTTCTAGGCCATGTGACATATGCTTTTTTCTAGATGGAGCCTGGATCCAAGCCCCTCCACCTTTCTTGTATGCTCTTCCTCATTTCTCTCTTTTCTGTCTCCCCACACCCTTCCCTACCACTGAATAGCTCCCTGATTTCCATCCACAGGCTTCACTCCAATTGGTGCCAGCCACCAATGCCACCCTCCACCATTCTGTGGCCTTGGCTTTGCTCAGCTGGCTGCTACCTGGAAGTGAACACCTTGCCTGTGACCTACTGCTGAGCTTCATATTCCGGTCAGAGTTCCTCCCGTAAGTCTAGCATTGGTGTAATCAACTCAAACCTTTGAGAGAGGCTGCTGCAGCTTGACAGAGCAATCTGCAATCTGGAGCCAGGAAACCTGAGCTTCTCTCTCATCCATGGATTATAATTTTTGGAACTTTAGTTTGCTCTTTAGTCGAGTCAGCCACACTAAACAATTATGGTCTGAATTCAGCTTGATTGTATGTGTAAGGTGGTAGATAAATTAGCCACATACATGTAGGAACTGTTTTTGAGTGTTTACTCTGTATTTGTCACTCCTGTAAGTATATCAGTATTTCCATGACATAGATACTGTTATCATACCCTTTTCACAGTGAGGAAACTAAAGCACAGTAAACTTATGTAAATTTGAACTCAAGTAGCTCGCTGTGGTGGCCATCCTCATAACTGCTACTCTTAACTGTGCTTGACACAGTGCATGGGAGTTTAAGAGGGGTGGGAAAAAGGAGTAGGATTGGTGTCTAGAAGCCTCTAGGAGGCCCTAAAGAGCTGGCCTTCTAGGTCATGGGTTCCAGCCTTTATTTATTTTCTTTTGGGTTCTGTTACAGGGAAAGAACATCTGGCGGTCCAGAGGCAGCTGACTTCTCAGACCGCCTGTGCCTCAGAAGCCATGGAGACCCTGGGTGTGCGCGAGGAGCTCTGCTAGCTCAGGCCTGCCAGGACCTTCCCAGCATCCGCAGCTGCTATTCAACCCACTGTTCACCGACCCAAACCAGCCTGCTGGCCTCTCAAGCTTTATACCGAGGGGAGCCACTGCAGCTCCCAGCACTGTTGTTGCCTGTGCCCAAAGACCTGCTATTGCCCACTGACTGGCCTTTCCTGCCTTTGATCCATCTCTACCATAAGGCCTCAGACACGCCCTCAGGCCTCCCTCCTGCTGACACCATGGGCACAGCCATGCGGGCCCTACAGTGGATACTAGTCCTGGAGAGCTGGCGCCCCCAGGCCCTCAGGGCTATTCCTCCTGCTGCCCGCCTGGCACGGCTCATGTGTGTGTTCTTGGTGGACAGTGAGCTATTCCGTGAGACCCCAATACAGCATCTTGTAGCAGCCCTTCTGGCCCGACTCTGCCAGCCCCGTGTCCTGGCAAACCTCAACCTGGACTGCCCCCTTCCTGGCCTGACTTCTTTCCCAGACCTCTATACCAGCTTCCTGGAACATTTTGAGGCCGTCTCATTTGGAGACCACCTTTTTGGGGCTCTGGTCCTCCTTCCCCTGCAGCGTCGGTTCAGTGTGACTTTGCGCCTCGCCCTGTTTGGGGAGCACGTAGGAGCTTTGCGAGCTCTGGGCCTACCTCTGTCTCGGGTATGTACTCCATCTGGCAGCAACCCTGGGAGCTTTTCTGTGCAGCGGGGTACCTGAGTGGGCCTTGGGATCTTCATCTTATCTCTTGGCATCTCTGAAAAGATTAAGTAACAGGATTCATGTCAAGTATTTAATTCAGCATCTGCCATATTGTAGGTTTTCATTATTGTTCATAAGATACTACAGTCCAGATATGAAATTTGTAGTTTAAAATTACCCAGATTTTAAGTGTCAAGTTAGGATTTGGAGAAGGAAAAGAGCAGCACAGCATGATCTTTCCGGAAGTTCGGCAGAATTTGAATTGTTGAGGAGGAACAGCATAAGCAAAGACTCACAAGCAGGAAGGAGTTGATAAATGGTGAGAGGAGAAAGGTGACCAGATTTCTGTTTCTTTTTTTTTTTAATTAAATTTTATTAGTTTTAATGAACATTTCCAGAGATTTTGGGTTTTCATTCATTCATTGTTGCACTGTTTTCTCCACCCTCATCCCCAGTTCG